ATGAATCACTCGATTAGGACAGGACAGTATCCGTCGCGCTTGAAATTAGGTCAAGTTACTCCTTTATTTAAAAAGGACGATGAACTAAACAAAAGCAATTATCGACCAGTGACCGTATTACCTGCGCTCAATAACGTTTTTGAGAGGCTACTTTCAGCTCAAATGGGCGACTTTTACCAGAACATATTGTCTGAATACATATCTGCCTACAGGAGGCACCATAGCTGTGAGACATCTTTACTTAGGCTGACTGAGGACTGGAGGCGCAGTCTAGACAATAAAGAGATCGTGGCGGTTATATCAATGGATTTGTCAAAGGCTTTCGACACCATACCTCATGCTCTGCTATTAGCAAAACTGAAAGCGTATGGCTTGCACGAATCCAGCTGCGCCCTTATCGGTGACTACTTGACGGATAGAAGGCAGCGAGTGAAAATTGGTGATACTTATTCGGATTGGATGAGTGTGAAGCGGGGCGTGCCTCAAGGCAGCGTCCTGGTGCCCATGTTTTTCAACATGTTCCTCAACGACCTCATCTTTCACATTAAGTCTGTGAAATTAAACACTTATGCCGATGACAGCCAACTGCACTCATCTGATGTAGACCCAGTGGCCTTGGAACGGCGGATCAATCATGATGTACAAATAGCAAATAAATGGTTCGAAGACAATGGGATGAAAGCAAACCCTGCTAAACATCAAGGGATGGTTCTTGGCAAAACCGATTACCCTTTCTCCTTTTTAACCACAAGATGCCTGGATCTTTTTGGAATATCTCTAGACAATGAACTTAATTTCAAGGATCACATATCCCCTGTATGCAAAAAAATAAATAATCAGTTCAGTGTCTTCAAAAGATTTGGCAAACTTATCTCATCCGAAATTATGCTTCGCCTTTATAAAGCGTTTATCTTACCCCATTTTCACTACTGTTCAATGATATGGCACTTTTGTAATTCAGAAGATTCTGTCAAACTGGACACCTTAAATAGACGTATTTTAAGATTTGTTTTAAAGGACTGGGACTCCCGACAATTTCAATTACCTGCAATTCACACGACTTGAATCTGCGAAAGACCATGTTGCAAATGATAGAGGAAAACCAGGTGTAACATGATACTCTTAGTGATGATGTGCTCTAGCAATTTACTGCAGATACAAGTACAAAAATGGTATGTAGTTTGCAGGACTGTCGTTATCGCCTTTCTTAAAGATGGGTGTTACCAAGGCTATTATTTTTCCAGTCTTCTGTTACTTGGTGAGATGACAGGGATTTGCTGAAGATCTTCTGAAGGGCTGGTGCTATCATTAGGCAGAGCTCCTGGAGGACCATCGGAGAAATACCATCAGGCCAAGCTGTCTTGTGTGGCTTTAGGTTATCTAATAGCTTAGCGATACCAGTAGTTGTAATTAAAATGGGTGCCATAGATGGCGTACGGTTAGGGGTATGGTCGAAGAACCTATAGCGCTGACTTTGACAAAGTTGCTTCAAATCAAAGGGTTGAAATTAGGAAGAAAAGATCATGGCCTAACCTCCTCCGCAGGCTTCACTGTCCTGTTTTAGAGAACGTACTAGTGGGAGAATAGGGGAGAGAACGGAGAATGACAGTGATTACCTTCTGCGCATATTGACACGCGCATACAAATCCGATTTTTGTATGGGATAGTGGGGGGAATTTTGAGAGGCAAAAGCCGTTTACCGGGACCTACATAGTTTGTTAGTTTGTCGAAAGAAAAATGGCGTTAGAAGGATATTCTCTCATCTGAATCCTCCCGGACCAGCAAACCGGCGTACATGTATTTATATTTTTCCTATGTATGTGGCCTGATGTAGCAGGCGATCGATGGCTAAAACTAAACCCAACCCTTTTAAACTTGTTAATATATTTGTCTTGGTAGACAAATTATGAGCTGGTTTTGTGTCATACAAGGATGGAAGAATGAGCAAACTTTATAGAAAGCTACCAAACAATCCTTCCCAAAGTTTTTCTATCGTGCTACCCAGATCAAAACAGCACAAACGATTTATAAAAGAGCTATTTTCACATACGAATCTTAGAGTTTTGAATCAAAAGTTAAGGCATTTGCATTTATTTTTTTCTACTCTTGAAATTTCCAGAAAATTTTACTATAGCCTCCAATTTATGTATTAAAGCTTAAGCTTATGTGTGTTGTTGTACTGCACGATCGAATTTTGCAAAACTAAAACTAAATATTAAGCAATACACCATCAAAACTGAACCTTTCTTCAGTCAAAGACTCATATGTATTGGTAGACAAATCATTATCTTTTTGTGTCAAACAAAGATAAAAGAATCGGAAAACTTGAAAAACATAAAAAAAATTCGTTGCAAAGATTTTCTCATCCGGCAGATGATTATTAAAGTTAAGCTTAATTCAGTCGTGCGGGGTCAAATCTGCACATGCAGTATGCAGGCTCTTTTAAGAGTCAAATTTAAAGATACCAATTTTACGGCTGTTTGAATTGAATTGGAATAAA